GTTGATACCAACGCCGCAGCAGCTGCTGCTTCTGCAGCAGGAGAAACGGAATAGCTGAAGAAGCGGCAGGATAAGTGAGGAAGGGGCAGCAGCAGCAGCAGCAGCTGTAGAGTGGCAAATATGCAAATGCATACACTGCACCTTTATGAATGTGCGAACAGAAGGAAATAGATTTGAAATTCGGAATGAACATTTTTTTAATTAATTCATTTTCAATTTGATAGTCGAATGAAGTTTGTTCAAGTGTACGTACACAGCGCGAAACTGCGAGAAAGAGACGCAAAAGAAGCGGCAAAGAATAACGGAAACAAATCAAAATAACAAAATTGGATGAATTAAAGAGACAAAAAGATATTAAAAAAGATAAAAGAGGTAAAAGGGGATAAAAAGAGATAAAAAGGGACAAAAAAGGAACCAAGCATGACAAAAAAAATAAAAAAATAATTAAAAATGAAACTTACCATAGACCTTTCTCTCGCGCCGCTTTCGGTAACAAAAGCCGCAGCAAGCTCGACAGGGGTGGCACTTGCAGCAAGAGCAGCACACCATCCCCACGTGCTGCTGCTGCTGCTGCTGTTGCTGTTGCTGCTGCTGGTGAGGCCGTTGGTCCTCTTACTCGTGGTTCTGGGCTCGTGGTGCTCTTTGGGCTGCTGCTGCTGCTGCTGCTGCTACTGTTGCTGCAGCTAGTGCTTATGGTCATTGCCGCTCCTGATAGTGAAGCTGACGATGCTCTTTGCGTTGCTGCAGCCGCTTTGCTGCTGCTGACTTTTTGCTGCTGCCGCTGCTGCTGCTGTTGTAGTTGTAAGGAGTTGTGCAGCAGCAGCAGCTGCTGGCTGCACATTTGGTTGTGCAGCAGCTGCTCTCTATCTGCGCCGAGCTGCCGCTTTGGTCCGGTCTTGCACTGCTGCTGCTGTTGCTGCAGCTGCTGCTGCTGCTGCCTGTATCTGAGCTTGTGTAGCCTTTCAAAACCCTTATCAGCCCCCGCTAAATGGCTTTTCCAATTTTTCTGTGTTTTTCTCGTTTTGTTTCTTTTTTAAGTTCCCGCATTTATTTATTCAAGTTTATTTCTTTTTCTCTTTGCCGCTACTTTTGCTGCAAGATCATTAAACTGTTGTTTCTATTTGCTGCTACTTGGTTGTCTGTTTGTTTATCTCATATGTTCCTTTTACTCTCCCCGAAGATGCCCGTGCCTTTCAGGTGTACATACAGCTCAGAATGCAGAGGCGACGGCGCGAGGTGTCTGTACACCCCAACAGCGGCCTGTGGGGTGGCGCCCGCGGCTCTTTCTTTGCTTTTTTCTAACTTTTCGTTTTCTTTTCTTTTGTCTTCTTCTCGTGCTCCTTCCCAAGAAAGTCCTTTTTATTTTTCTTCCTTTTGTCTATTCTTTCCTGTTTCGGTTTTTCTTGCTTCTGTCTTCTTTCCGTCTGAGTCATGCTCCGTGGCTGCTCTTCCGCTTCTCACGCATATCACTGCAGCAGTGGCCTGCTGCTGCTGCTCGCAACAGCAGCAGCAGCAGCAGCAGCGGCGGGGCCACACAGGGCTCAGAAGCAGGAAGGGGCAGCCACAAAACTTAGGGGGGGAAAATTGCAACTTTTGTTTGTCTCAGCTGGGCAGCGCGGGGTGGACTGGGGGCTGCTGCTGCTGCTGCCCCGTTTTCTGACTTCTTTTATCCTTTTTTCGACTCAACAGACCCATAAAACCCTAAACCCTAAACCCTTAACCCTCGTTTCACTCATTTGATGGCTGCTGCTGCGGCGGTCACCCTGGGAGGCGACGGAGACGCACACGGCCGGCGACCAGGTAAACCCTAAACCCTAGACCCTAAACCCTCATAAATGGGGGCCAGATGCTGCAAAACTTCGCCTTGAGTTGGATTTCAAAACTTCAAACCCTAAACCCTAAACCCTAAACCCTAAACCCTAAACCCTAAACCCCAAGCCCTAAACCCTAACGGCTGTCTCTGGGCTGGCTGCGCTGCTCTCCTGCCCCACAAGAAGACACTGAAATTGAGTTGGGGACGAGAAGCAAACAAGGAAGACACAAAGTTTATTAAATTAAAAACAAAACAGCAAAAGCAGCAGCAACTGCCTTTGCTGCTGCTGCTGCTGCTGCAACGACAGCAGCAGGGAGATAGGTGTAAGGTCACCTGGCTCACAGCAGCAGCAGCAGAGCCCCCCTTTAGTCTCGCTGGGGTCTCAACAGCTGCTGCTTTTTCTTAATTTTGGTTGTCTTCGGGTGTACGTACACCTGAAGACTCACATCTCTCTAACCTATTTTACGAAAGCTAGTCCGCTTGCTGCTCTGTTCTGCAGCAGCAGGCGAGCAGCAGCAGCAGCAGCAGCAGCAGCAGCAGCTTCGGCAGCTCCTCCCGCTGCAGCAGCAGCTCAGCTGACAGTGTTGCTGCTTAGCAGCGGCTGAGACGCACAGCCAGGGCCTCAGGCCTGCCCGCAGCACAATGGAGGAGTCCGAGGCTAGCAGCGCGGTCTCTGCAGCTGCAGCAGCAGCAGCAGCAGCCGCAACTCCTGCTGCCTCCCTTATCGCTCCTTCTACCCTTTCTGATGCCAATTCTGTTGCTGCTGATGCTGGAGCAGACGCAGCAGAAGCAGCAGCAGCAGATAGGTCTCCCCAAACAACCTCGAGCCTTTCGAAGAGTCAGCACTCCCGTTCCAGGCAGCAGCAGCGGCAGCAGCAGCGGCAGCAGCAGCGGCAGCAGCAGCAGCAGCAACAAGTAACTCGTCTAGGAGCCCTCCGGGGCACCCGCTTGAGCAGCAACGTCGGCAGCAGACGCACCTGCAGCAACTGCAGCAACAGCACAAACAGCAGCTTGCAGTCCGTGCGGCTAAATTTCACAAACCGGCTCTCAAACAGTCAAGCAAGTCATGCTGCTGCTGTTGGAGCTGCTGCGGCTGTTGCTGCTGCTGCTGTTGCTGCTGCTGTTACCAAAACTGCTGCTGCTGCTGTTGCTGGTGCTGCTGAATCTGTTGCAGCAGCCGTTCTCGTCTAGCTTGTGCAGGAGTTGTCTAGGAAGCGCAGACACTTCTTGTGGCCATTGCCGCTGCTGGTGCCGCTGCTGCTGCTGCTGCTGCTGCTGCTCCTCAGGCCCAGCTGGAAGTACACGGAGTAGATGTTGCTGCTGTAGCTGGCAGCATCGTGAACCGCCTTGCCCTTACGATGCAGCAGGCTCCCCGTGGCCTTGGTACTGCAGCAGCAGATCCTGCTGCATGTTTCCCTGTTGTAGCTACCGCTGCTGCAGCGCCTGCTGCTGCTGCTGCTGATGAAAACGCCAGTGATACTGCTGCCGCTGCTGCTACGGACCCCTTCATATGCGATGTAACAGGAAACAGAAGGAAGCACAAGCAGCAGCTTGAGAGGCAGGAGCAGCAGCTAACGCTGCTGCAACAGCAGCAAGAGCAGCAGCAGCACCAGCTTTTACTGCTTCAGAAGCAAAAACAGCAGCTGTCCCTGTGGCAGCAGCAGCAGCAGAGGCAGCTGTCACTTCTGCAGCAGCAGCACCAACAGGCACAGCAGAAAGTGCAGCAGCAGATTCAGCAGCAAGTCCACCAGCAAATGCAGCAACAGCAGCAGCAAATTCAGCAGCAGCAGCAGCAGCAAATGCAGCAGCAGCTCCAGCAGCCCAGCAACGAGCTCTATGGGCCTTCGCGCACCCTTGCCGCTCATCGTCTGAGCAGCGGGAGCAACGGGAGCAGCAGCAGCAGCACCAGCAACTGCAGCAACACAAGCAGCATTTTCAGTTATGCCAAGGAAGCAGCAGCAGCAGCAATCCCAGTCTACCCTTCAGCAGCACTTCGCAGCCGCCGCTGCGTTGCTATTCCCCCTACCCCGCCTGCGCGGCGTTTGCCTGCTGCTGCTGCTGCTGGCTTTTACGGCCAGCAGCACGAGAAGCAGCAGCTGCTGCAGCAGCGGACGAGGCAGCTATTGCAGCAGCAGCAGCAGCAAATAAAACAGCAGCGTGCGAACCTGCAAAAGCAGCGGGAGCACCTGCAGCTGCTTCTGGCTCACAAGCAGCAGCTCTTGCTGCAGTGCCAGCAAGAACGTGAGCAGCAGCAGCAACAGCAGCAACACCAAGAGCTGCAGCAACGGGTGCAGCAAGAGCTCAACAAACAAAATCTGCAGCAGCACCAACAGCAATATCAGCAGCGGCAGCAGCAGCAGAAAAACTTATGCGGAGGCACCCATGGATGTCTTCCAGGTGGTCCTGTGCGTCAGTTGCAGCAGCTTGCTGATCCATACCCGCTGCAGCAGGTTAAAGAAGAAGTCCAGCAGCAGCAGCAGCAGCTGCTACTGTTGCAGCAGCATCTTGCGACAGCATCTTCCAATGTAAGCAAAGGGATGCAGCAGCAGCATTACGAGCAGCAGAAGGGCCAAAAAGAACTGCAGCAGGAGCTGCTGCGTAGCGGCAGCAGCACCACTTCAACAGCAACAAGTGCAATTCGAGGCGACAGTTTCTTGGGGTCTGTGTCTTCTGTGCTGATGCCTAAACTCGACTTGCCTGCGAAGCAGCAGCAACAGCAGCAACCGCAAACGCAGCAGCAGCAGCAGCAGCAGCAGCAAGTGCAACAGCAGCAGCGGCAGCAGCCACTTCAGCAGACAATTAGGGAGCAGAAGCATGCGCATGCGCAAATGGACAAGGAGACTCAGACCTGGCAGCAGCAAGCGCAGCAACCGCAGCTTCTGCAGGGGCAGCAGCAGCGGCTGCAGCAGCAGCCCCAGCAGGAGCAGCAGCTGCCCCTCTACAAGCAGCAGCGCATGTTGCAGGAGCTGCAGTCGCGGATGCAGCACGACGCCTGTGAGCAGATGCTGCAGCAGCTTCAGCAGCAGCAGCAGCAGTCCCAGGAGCAGAGGGAGCTGCAGGGGCAGCAGCAAGCTGCTGCCCGCTTTAGAAGCCAAACGCCCACCCCCACAAGCAAGAGCAGCAGCAGCAGCAGCAGCATGAAGCAGCAAGCGCTTGTTTACGGTGCAGCCAGAAGAAGATCCGCCACGCCGGGGCTCTTCCCAGCCACCATTTTTCCTGCTGCTGGGGCACAGCAGCAGCAGCAGCAACAGCAGCAGCAGCAGCACCGTCGCCCGATGGCGCAGCAGGCGGCCCCCGGTGCGAGCCCTGCTGCTGCAGCAGCAAACCAGCACCCCGTGTTGCTGCCAGACGGGAGGCTTGTGGTGCAGTCGGAAGCAAAAGCCCAGGTTTTGGATGTGGCTTCTGCTGCTGCAGTGGCGCGGAGTACGGGCAGCGCAACAGCAGCAGCAGCTGCAGCAGCAGCAGCAAAGCCTCACCCTGTGCAGCTGACTCGCCTGCGGCCCTACTTAGTCCCAGTCGATATTTATGTTCCTAAACTGGTTCATGTCCCTCTACACGTGGTGCAGCAGCACGTGGAATATGCTGCAGCAGACGCAGCAGGCGCTGCTGCTGCACCTGCTGGGGCGCAGCAGCAGCAGCGGCACAGCTTCGAGCAGCAGCAGCTGGAGGCGTTCAACAAACTGCAGCACCAGCACTTCGAGGTGATGATGCAGCGGGCGAGGCAGCAGGCAGCAATATGCGGCGCCCAGACGCTGCCTTTGCAGCAGCTGCTGCAGCACCAACAGCAGCAACTGCAACAACTGCTGCACCAGCAGCAGCAGCAACTGCAGCAGCAGCCAAAGCAGCAAGCTGTCTTCCGCTAGAAAGCTGCAGCCAGTGAGGGCACAAAACTTGCTTGGAGGGCCACTCTATTGTCCTGAAGTCTTTCCCTCAGGCGCTACACCCTAAACCCTAAACCCTAAACCCTAAACCCTACGCGAAGGACTCAGTGAGTTCAAGCCCAGGGAGGGGTTGACAGTAGCTTACAAGCTGCGCGCAAGCCTTGGAGCAGCAGCCCTGCTGCAACAGCAGCAGATGCAGAAACAACCAGGCTGCAGCAGCTGAAGGTCAGCAGCAGCAGCAGCAGCAGTTGCTACAAAGGCAGACCTAGGCTATCCCCCAGAATTCCTTTTACATTATCTTCTTCACACACTCCACCTAAGTGCATGCATATAATGGACCAATGGTCCACTGAGGCCGGCGATACACTGCAAAGGCCTGAGCTTCACTTAGCGCCCTAGCCGCCACTGCTTGCTGGTGTTGCTGCTGCTGGTGTTGCTGCTGCTGTCGCTGCTGCTGTGCTGCTGCTGCACCAGTCTCCGTTCTGTATCCTATGGTCGTCGGGTCTAGGGAGTTGTACATACACTGCACTCCAGTCTGCTGCTGATTGCATGCAGATGCAGAAATTGCTAGACACGCAGCGACCCACTGTGAAGCAGCAACAGTGCAGCAGCAGCAGCAGCTGAAGCAGCAACTGCAGCAACAGCTGCAACGGCAGCAGCAAGGGCGAGGGGCCCTGTAGCGGCAGCTGCAGCAGCGCACTGCAGGCCCTCCGCGCGCTTTGGAGCCATTCTAAACCCTAAACCCTAAAAAGAAAGACTTGTTACCCTAAATCCTCGAAGCTAAAAACCCTAAACCCTCGCAGCACCAAACCCTAAGCCTTGAGGGCCTGCAAAGCCCTGCAGCGAAAGCAGCTGAATTCTATAGGCGAAGCTGCAGCAGCAGCAAGACAAAGAGCCTCCAGTGGGGAGCCATCAAAGCAGGTGCTGCGTCTAATTGCTGCTGCTGCGGCTACTGCTGCTGCTGCTGCTGCTACATTGCACATCTTAAGGCAATGGGTTGAGAACAAGAGAGCGCACGTACACTTGGGGCTGCTGCATCGAAAGCTGCTGCTGCTGCTGCTGCTGCTGCGGGGGCGTGTAGAGCACAATAAGAGAACATGCATGCTTACGCCGAAAGGCAAGAACCTTGGAGGCCGCAAAAGCCCCCCAGCTGCTGCTGCTGCTGCTGCTGCTGGTGCTGCCGCTCTGCAGCTGCTTGGGGGGCAGAAGCACCCATTTGGTGTCGGACTTCTGCTGGTCTGCTGCAGCAGCCAGCAGCAAATCTACAGGCAGCAGCAGCGGCTGCTGCTCAGCCTCATCTTCCTCGCCATCCAGCAAACCCCAAGTCAAACCCTCAGCAACTTCTAGGGGAACTGGAACACACCGCAGGGCGGCCCCAGAATACCCAGAGGCCAGCCTGCGGACACGCGAAGCAAACCTGCTGCTGCTGCTGCTGCTGCTGCAGCTGCTGCTGCTGCTGCTGGTGCTGCTGCTGGTGACGGTAGGTGGAGCGATATGGTATATACGGAAATGACGCTCAATGGATTAGACACAAGCAGGCAGCAAAAAAAAAGAGACTGAGTCAGCTTCTGCACAGCGCGCCTACAGCTGCCGCTGCTGCTGAATTTGCTGCTGCTGTTGCCGCTGCTGTTGCTGCTGCTGCTGCTACTACTGCACTTACTCGCTGAGTCCTGCTGGCAGCGCCTCTACGGAGATGTCCGTCGGGAAGACACTCGTGGGCTTCGCTATGTCGTGCATATCACGTGCCGCATCTGCTGCAGCAGCAGCAGCAGCAGCAGCAGCTGCGTCGGCGAAGGAAGCAACAAAAGAAGCAGCGAACTGCACGCGACCCGTCATCACGACTGCAGGACTCCTGCGAACGGCAAGGGCACCAGCAGCAGCAGCAACAGCAAGAGCTTTTGTGCTGCAGTTCGTCTCCCCGGATCTTTCTTTGTGGCTGCTTCTGTCTCCTTTGCAGCACTTACTGCAGCGCAGTAGCAGCAAAAGGGCCCCTCAGGTCCCCTGGCTCGGGGCCCAGCACTGTCTCATCTCCCCAGTCCCCATCCAGCCAGTCGTCCAAATTAAACCTGCAGCAGCAGCAGCAGCAGCGGCAGCAGCAGCAGCTGCAGTAGTGGCAGTTGCAGGTGCATTCCAGCCCGGCATGGGAGTCAGCGCGGCACGCGTATTGAGCTGCTGCTGTCACGAAGCAAATGCAGCAGCTGCAGCAGCAGAGGGTCCCTACTTGACAATCCTGAGAGGCTTATGCTGCTGCTGCTGCTGCTGCTTGGGGAGCAGCAGCGGCTGCCAGCCTTGGAGCTCAAGGGCTGTGTCTGAGTCGATGTGATAGAGTTTTGTCCCTGCAGTGTGCAGACGCAGCATGCAAGCTTGCTGCTCTCTTATTTACTGCCGCTGCTGCTGCTGCTGCTGCGTTTGCTGCCGTCGCTGCTGCTGCTGCTGCCACTGCTGCTGTGGGCAACCTACTCTGAAGCCGCCCCCCGACGACCTCCCAGATGATGCCTGATGACACAGGTTGTGGGATGCGAGCTGAAGAGCACAACAGCACCAGCAGCAGCAGCAATAGAGGCAGCAGCTCCCCAGGGGTTCTTTTATCATGTAAACTGCTGCTCTTGCTGCTGCTGCTGCTGCTGCTGCTGCTGAACTAGTGCTTGCCTTGCCACAAAGGCCGCAGATCTTCCCTGCCAAAGTATACCACGCGGGGAGTCCTGAGAAGGAAATAAAGGCAGATGCATGCGCGAATATTCAACTCCATATAATATATATACATATATAAATATATACATAAATATATATGAACGCACGTATAAATATTTTTATATTATTGTTAATGCTCTTAAATGCATCCAGCATGCGTACAGTGGGCAATACGCATTGAAGTCCATTTAGAATATTCAATTCGAAGTAGATTATTAGCTTATGAGCATAGATACAAGTATATACATATATTACATAGAGAATCAAATAAAGTATAAATGCATATTCCTATATATATATAATATTCCTGAGAACTCCAAAAGGACGAATTTTAGGTGTGGCTGCGTGAGCTGTGTGTACGCCGCGCGAGTTGCGCAAGATGGTCAAGAGAAGCTCCAACGGGACTACTCGGCTGCAGAAGTGTAAAAGCGTGAAATAAATGCACAAAATATATTTAAAAATATTTAAAACAAATCTAAACAAATCTGACTTGCACACAAAACGCCACTCCGAAAGACGCAGTGCACTTGACGAGGTGTACAGACACCCCAGCGATTCAGGGGAAGATTCGAAGCGGTCGAAAAGACAGCTAAAATGACGGGAAAAAGAGAAAAACAGAACAGAGACCAAAAGAGACAAAAAAGACACAAAGGGATCGAGGGGACAAAGGAGATGAAAGAGACGAAAAAAAGAACGGAAAATGAAAAGACAAAAAGAGGACAAAAAAGACAAAAAAAAGAAAAACTTCCTTTGGGTTTCGCTCTCACTTGGGGCCCTTTTCATCAATTTGGCGAGCGCCGTAAAGAAAAAAGAAAACAGCAACAACCACCATGTTCACAGCAGCCCACTGAAGCACACACCACAGTCGTGGCTAGCTAGCTAGCTAGCTGGCTAGCTACGTCGTTGACTGGATAGCTAGCTACGCCATTAGCTAGCTAGCTAGCAACATCGCTATCCGGCTAGGCTGCTAGCTAGCTTGCTGGGTAGCTTGATAGCTAGCTGGGTCGCTAGCTAGCTAGCTAGTCGCTGGCTAGCTAATTTGGTCACTAGCTAGCTAGGTCGTTAGCTACCCAGATCTCTAGCTAGCTGGCTAGCTGGCCAAAAAGTTGGCTAGCTAGCTGCACCCAACTGGCTAGCTAGCGACGGCAGGTAGCTGGCTGCGTCAAATAACTAGCTAGCTAGCTTCGCCAAGTAGTTGGTTAACTCGATGCACCCGGCTAGCTAGCTAGCTGCACCCAACTGGCCACCGCATCTTTGCCTAGCTAGCTAACTAGCTAGCTAGCTAGCTAGCTATAGAGCTATCTGGCAGGCGGCAGCAGCAAGGAGCCCCGCCGGTGCCAGCAGCACACACTCAGCAGCAGCAGCAGCAAGCGCAACAGCAGCAGCAAAAGCAGCACCACTACCAGCATCCGCACCAGCAGCGAGCCCACCACCACCACGAACAAAAACAGCAGCAGCAGCAGCAGCAGCAGTAGCAGCAGCAAGAGCAGCAGCAACAGCAGCAGTAGCAACAGCAGCAGCAGCAGCAGCAGCAGCAAGGCCTACTTTTCGGGTTCTGCGGAACTCGCGTGGGGTGACAAAGAACAAAAGACAGCCCAAAACCCAAAGGATTGGAGCCCAGCAAAGAAAGCCTGTGGCCAGCAGCAGCTGCTGGCAGCGGGGGTCATCGTAGTAGTCTTCTTCTTCTTCTTGGAGGTTTGCTGCTGCTGCTTCTGCTGCTGCTGCTTCTGCTGCTGCTGCCGCTGCAGGGTCTCCTGCTCCGAAGCCACCGCTCACGCGTTCCCGCAGCCGCCGCCACAGCCGGCGCACCGGGCCTTCCGTGCTGCTGCTGTCACCTGCACTGGTGTCTGCTGCTGCTGCTGCTGCTGCTTCAGCTCCTGCTGCTGGCGCTGCTGCTGCTGCTGCTGGTGCTGCTGCTGCTGCTGCGCGGCCCTCCTGCAGCATTGCTTGTGCCCGCCGAATCGCAGCCATGATGCCCCCCTCAGCTGCAGCAGCAGCAGCAGCAGGGGCGGCAGCAGCAGCAGGAGCAGCAGCAGCAGGAAAGTCCGCATTGTTGCGATCCGTGCTGCTCCTGCTGCTGGTATTGCTGCTGACGCTGCTGCTCCTGCCTCTGATCTGCAGAGGCAGCTCGTGTTGCTGCTGCTGCTGCTGCTGCTGCTCCAAGGCAGCAGCAGGAGTGTCCTCCGCGTGCACCCCCTCCCCTATAACAGCTTCATATCTCCTGCGGCGCCTCCTGGGGGTTCGCAGCTGCAGCGGCTGCTGCTGCTGCTGCTGCTGCTGCGGCAGATGCAGCCGCAGCAGCCGCCGCATCCAAGCCAAGGGGCCTGATCGAGAAGCCACTTGGCTGTCAGCAGCAAGAGGGTCATCTGCTGCTGCTGAAGCTGCTGCTGATGCTGCTGCTGCGTCAGTGGGCCTTCCCAACACCCGCGGGTGCATCTCAACAGCACTTCCTGCAGCGGAGACACATGCAGCACAACTCCTAATATCCATGCAGCAGCAGCAGCAGCTGCAGCAGTAGCAGCAGCAGCTGCTACTGCTGTTCCTGCTGCTGCTGCACATTAGGCACCACTCTCTTGCTGCAACGCTCGTCCCACAACGGAACATGCGCTATTAAAACAGCACTCTTGTCTGCTGCTGCTGCTCTTGCTGTGGTTGCAGTTATTGCTGCCGCTGCTGCTGTTGCTGCTGCTGCTCTTGTCGTGGCTGCAGTTGTTGCTGCTGCTGCTGCTTTTACTGCGGCTGCTGCCAGTGCTGCTGCCGCTATTGCTGCACTCACCAAATGCAAGGTTATCTATTTCTTCGTTGGTGTCCTCGTCAGCATCGAACAGAACATCTCCACTATCGAGGCCGTCATTATCTGACTCTGCTGCAGCAACAGCAGCAGCAGCTGCTGCTGCTGCTGCTGCTCGTTCTTCATCACTGGGGTTTAAAGCCACTTCACGGCCTCTCCCAGGGCCTCGCCGCGTGGAGCCCCACATTTCTGCAGCAGCAGCAGCAGCTGCTGCTGCTGCTGCAGACCAGCAGCAGCAGCGGTGGGTGATGATAGCAGCAGCAGCAGCTGCTGCTGCACCGCAGTCGTCACAGGAGAAGCTGCCGCCGCAGCCCTGAAGGCAACAGCTGACGCAGTGCTATCTCTGCTGCTGCTGCTGTTACTGCTTCATTTGTAGAATGTGTGTGCTTTCTGCTGCTAGCAAGAATCCGTGCTGCTGCTCTCCTCCCCTACTTTAGCTGCTGCTGCTTCTGAGACCGACAATACGATATCTGGTGTCCTGCTGCTGATCCTGCTGACAGCTATGGGTCATCCCTTATCTGCTGCCGCTTGCTGCTGCAGCTGCTGCTGCAGCTGCCGCTGCAACTGCTGCTGCTGCTGCAGCTGCTCGTCTTCCCGCTACTGGGGCACCCTCCGCATACTGTAGCAGCTCCTACAGCAAAGAAATAGCGTTACAAACGGGGCAATTAAGAGGGACTGTGGGCTGCTGCTGCTGTTGCCACCGCTGCCGCTGCTGCTGCTGCTGCTGCTACCGCTGGGGCTGCTGCCGTTGTCCTGAAACCCAAGTTGTTGCAGTTTTGAACATGTCTAAAGCGCAAACAGGAAATGGAAAGCCTGCAAATGAATCAATGCAGGCGAATATACAGTCTTGGAGAACTCGTTATCACTGCAACATGCAAGACACCAGCAGCCGCAGCAGCAGCAGCAGCTGCTGCTGCCGCTACCATCCTTAGGGCCCCCAGTGACCAGGTTGAACTACCCTCAGGCCTTTGAAATATTATGAAAAATGCGCACGCGCAGCAGAAGAGACTAGAACTCCATTAAGGCCTTTTTGTGTACAAAAAGCCCTCGCTTGCTGGTGCTGCTGTTGCCTCTGCGGCGGCAGCGGCTGCCCTACTGCTGCTGCTGCTGCTGCTGCTGCTTAGTCCTCGCAGCGTACAAAATGTGATATTGCAGCAGTCCCAGCTATCACAAGGCCTCACCTGCAGGGCTCCCTACGCCGCAGCGGCGGCTGCGGCTCCTGCTGCTAGGGCCTGCTGCCGCTGCTGTTGCTACAGTGCTGCTGCGGCTGTTACTACTGAAGTAGCTGCTGCTGCAGCTACATCTGTTACTGTAATTGCTGCTCCAATCTCTCCAACTCAGCTTCTGCGGCCATTGTAGGACGAAGCTGATGCCGTAGCAACAGGATAAGCAGCAATTGCTGCTCTTAGGACCAGCAGCGAAGGCGTGACTGCAGCAAACATGCAGCAGCGGCCGAAGCAGCAGCAGCAAGTGCTGCTGCTGCTGCTGCTCTTGCTCCTTCTGCTGCACATGCAGCCCACTCTCATGGCTAGGGTGCCCTCGCCATGCTTTATTCGCCCATATTTTGCTGCTCCTGCTGCAGCTGCTGCTCCTCCTGTGGCTACAGCAGCAGCAACTGCTGCTGCCTGTGTGGGATCTCCCAGGCTCCCCGTACGCCAGACTCTCGTACAGCAGCGCCTCAGGTGCAGCAGCAGCAGCAGCAGCAGCAGCACCAACAGCAGCATCGGCGGAGGGGCGGCAAGCTCTGCAGACAAAGAGTAGGCGTGAGCAGCTCAAGGTGCAGCAGGCGCAGCGGTTGCTGCTACTACTGCTGCTGCTGTGGCTACCTTAAGACCCTGCAGGCGAAACAGATTAAATCTTGCGTCTGCTGCTGCTATTGTATGGAATTGTTGTCCCCCGCAGCAGCTGCTGCTGCAGCTGTAGCAGCTGGCGCCCTTTTAGTTTCTGCTGCAGCTGCTACAGCTGCAGCCACTGCTGCAACGCTGCTGCTGCTGCTGCTGCTGCTGTGTCTCTGCAGGCTGCAGCTAATAGTGGGGATAGAAGCCCACGTGCAGCTCGCCACCAGCAGCAAGGCGTTTTGCTGCTGCCCGGCGTATCCCCCTGTTGCTGTTGCTGCTGCGGGGCCTGAGGGAGAGCAGCGTCTGCTGCTGCAGCACGAGCATGAGGACGCGCCGTCGGCGCTGCCGTGGATCCAGCAGCAGCAGCAAGAGCAGCAGCAGTGGCAGCAGCAGCAGCTGCTGCTGCTGCTGCCGGCGTGCTGCTTGCCGAACTCAAGGACTTGCCCCATTTGCCTGGGAGATGGGGGGGCTCTTCCTTCGCCCAATAGAAAGGCAGTCGAGTTGGCACTTGCTGCTGCGCTCCTGATGCACTGCAACACCGGTACTGCTGCTGCTGTTGCTGCTGCTGCTGCTGTTGCTGCTGCGACTGTTTAGATTAAATTAAGCCGAGATAATGCTGCTGTTGTCCTCTTCCCCTGCCTGCACCTCAGGGCTTAAGCTGCCTTTGCTACTGTTCTTGCCGGTGCCATTGATGGTCTTGCTGCTGCTGCTGCTGCTGCTGCTGCTGCTGTCGTTGCTGCTGCTGCTCACAGCTGACGTGCTGCGTTTCGACCGCAAGTGCTACGTGTACCCTGACCTTGCCAAGCGGTACCAAATTACGCAGACTTTCAAGTGGGTCTTCTGATCGCAGCAGGCGGCGCTGCTGCTGCTGCTGCGGCAGCTGCTGCTGCTGCTGCTGCGGCAGTTGCTCTGGCAGGTGCTGGTGCTGCGGCAGGTGCTGTTGCTGCAGCAGTTGCTGTTGCTGCGGCAGGTGCTGTTGCTGCAGCAGTTGCTGTTGCTGCTGCAGTTGCTGCTGGCGCTCTAGTTGCTGCTGCTGCGGCTCTTGTGGCTGCAGGAGCGGTGGGTTGCTTTTTTTAATTGGTTGGCTACAGTTGCGCTGCTGCTGCTGCTGCTGCAAACCCTGCCAGTCCGAGTTAGTATAGTGGCTAGTATTTCCGCCTGTCACGCGGAAGACCCGGGTTCAATTCCCGGACTCGGAGTGTTTAGTTCTTTCGGTTCTTTTCTATTTTACTTCAGGACTTCAAATACATTTATGTTTTTCTTGATATAGTTTTTTGCCATGTTTTATTATTTTTAATTCTTTTATTTATATCCTCGCTTTTTATGGCGCTTGTGAATTAAAACCTGTTCACTCACTGAAAAGAAAGAAATGCCTATGTTCTAGGGTTTAGGGTTTAGGGTTTAGGGTTTGAATGGCACGTGCTTGCTTCTGTGTAGCCTCGGGTTTCCTTCTGTTCATAGAGGCAATTGTTCGGTGTGCCTAAGTGCCACACTGACACTTTTCCAGATATTTTGTTAAAATATTTGTCTTAATTTGCCCTCAATTTCATTTGTTTTTGTTTATTTTAATTTATTTTAATTTATTTTAATTTGTCTTAATTTATTTCAATTTATTTTAATTAATTAATTTGTTTATTTCCCTTCTTCGCAGCCCGATTGGCTACGACGGTTTCGTCGAAATTCCCTCTGGGCGAAAAGTGCAAATTCACAAAATTCAGCTTGAGGAAGACACAGCCACAATGAAGCGGGCGGAAGTGAGCAGAAAAATTTAATTAAATTAATTTAATTTAATTTTAAAAATAAAGTAAAACAATTTAATTTAATTTTGAAAATAAATGTTTTATTATTAACTCGGTGTAATGAAACCAGTTTAAATGGCCGTGCTGCAGGCGAAGAATGCAGCAGAGGCGAAGCCCTATGGGGGGAAGCAGCAACAGACAAGCAGCAGCAGCAGCCTTAGCAGCAAACAAAAAGCACCTAGTTAAATTTTTTAATGTAATAAATGGAATGTATGAAACTCAGCAGCGGAGAAAATGCACATGCAGCAGCATGCAGTTAAAGGACAGACAAGCAAACGGGGTAGGCTGCTTCATTTTGTGCTCTGCTGCTTCTGCTGCTGCTGCTGCTGCTGCTTCTAAAGGACGGCCGTATAGAGTTGGACAGCAACAGAGCGGGAACTCCTTTGATAGAAGTAGTAACCAGGGTGAGTTAGCTTTTTTGTGATTTCATTTTTTTCCTTTTTCTTCTTTCATCTCTCATCTTCTATGTTTGCCACATTTTCATTCAGTTTCGACGTTTGTCCCGTTTGTACTATGTTCCTATGCCTTGCTATCGCTGCTGCAGCTGCTGCTGCTGCAGTTGCATCGACTGCTGCTGCACCTGCTGCTGCTGCAGCTGCATGCAGCCCTCACGCCATCTCTGCTTTGGTTCGCTCTATGTGAGTGATACCCGGCCGTATAAAATCGCCTTTTCCTTGCTATTTGTATTACCACTATTCCTGTTGCTGCTGCTGCTGCTGCTGTTTGCAGGCGGAGCCTCTGTCTCCCGCGGAAGCAACCGACTTTGTGCACGAGTTGTTTACGGATCTGCGCAATGCCGGTGAGCCATTCTTGATTGTGCCACAGGCCTTGTCCTTTGTGTCTTTTTATTTTTTCAATCTCCTTGTTTTCTTGCTGAGTTTCCTTTTTTCGTTTCTTTTTACCCCTCTTTCGTTCTTTTCTGCTGCTTCTCTGCGGCTTCTTTGGAGGCTTTGGGGCCTCTGAAGGTCTTGGGTTCATGACAGCAAAGAAGCCGTTCCCGTTGCTGCGGCAGCTGCTGCTGCATGCGCTTCTAAGTATCCCCTCAACAGCAGCAGCAGCAGCACCTAGGCCTTGCAGCAGCAGCTGCTGCATGCAGGAGCCCCTCACAGCAGCAGCAGCCTCTGAGCCCCGCGCAGCAGGAGCCAAGGGTTTCCTTGGGAGCAAAGAGGCGAGGGGAGCAGCAGCAAAAAGGAAAAGATGAGCGGAGAAATAAGAAGAGATGACTAAAAAAATAAAAAATAAATAAAAATTAGTTGCTGCTTCCCTTTTTCGCATCCACAGGCATCTGCCGCGGCGAAATGGCCCGCGGCCGAGTCCGCTGCGACTTAAATGTTTCTTTGCGCTCTCGAAACGCATGCAGAGACTTCCCGAGGGTAATTTGGGACTTTGGGGCTGCATGCGCAGCAGCGCAGCAGCACAGCGGCATAGCAGCGCAGCAGCACAGCAGCGCAGCAGCTCCAGGTGTACTGACACCTGCTGCTGAGCTGTCGGGACGCAGCTGGCTCCTGGGCTGTATGTACATTTGCGGTTTAGTGCCTGGGCTGCGCGTTCAGGGTTCGGGGTCAAAGCTTTAGGGTTTAGGGTTTACGGTTTAGGGTTTAGGGTTTGTGTTTGTGCGCTCTGCGCGCTTTAAGGTGGAAATAAAAAACGTGCGGAGCCTCAGGGCGATTCGCCGCGCTTTGCATGCGGAGGACAAAAGACAAAAAGACATAATTGAAAAGGGGCAGGAGATACAGCCCGAGACGCGGCACTGGGATGACGCACTGAAAGTAAAGCTGCTGCTGCTGCTGCTGCTGCTGCTGCTGCTGCTGCTGCTGCTGCCGCTGAAGTAGCAGTTTCTGTTCGCTGTGCAGGTGCCGCCCCTTGTGCTGCTGCAGTAGCAGCCAGTGCAGACACGCAACTGCGGAAAACTGCGCTTCTCCTGCAGCGGGAATAGCAGCATTCACAGCAGCAGCAGCAGGAGCAGCAGCAGGAGTCTGTGTTGTGCTGCAGCGTTCAGTGCCACTGCGTTCGAAGGTCAATTCGTCTTGGGTCTTCTTTCCATTTGAGGAGACGCAAATACCTCCTGTGTCTCTTGACAAGGAGACGAAGGCAAGAATTAAGTGAGGGTAGAGGCATGCAGAGCAGGCGCTGCAGCAGCAGCAGCTGCAGCCGCAGCAGCAGCAGCTGCTGCTGCTGTCGCTTTCTGTGCCCCTTTGGAGCCTTCAATGTTTATTCCTTTTTGCATTGTGCCTCTGCCTTGTTGCTAGGGGCACTGTCCAGTGGCTGCCTACCTACATTGACCGCGGCGTGTCGTTTAGGGTTTAGGGTTTAGGGTTTAGGGTTTAGGGTTTAGGGTGTGGCGTGCAGAAGGGGCCTCGTGCTCTCCGCGGCGTCCCGCCGCAGTTTATATCGGCAGTGGGGTCTTGAGCTGTCTCTGCGGACTGCCATTGCCAGGGACATAAAAGTGAGAAGCAAAAAGTTTAAAAAGGAAAAATAAAAAACAAAAAATATGAAAAGAAAGAAAGAAGAAAGGTCAAGAAGACACAAACAGCCATACAGACCCAGCAGCAGCAGCCGCGCGTGCAGCAGGCTGCAGCAAGCAGAAGCAGAAGCAGGATATTCCCGCATAGGGAGCAGCAGCATCGCCTGACCTGGAGCGAGATAAGGCCTGCTGCAGCGGTTGTCGATGCCGCTGCTGCTGCTGCTGCTGTTGCTGCTGCTGCTGCTGCTGCCCTCAGATGGCTGAGTTTTATGAGCAGCTAGTTGCTGCTGGGGCCCCCCCAGTGCGAAGTGCAGTTTTCCTTTTGAATGATCTTCAGGCAGCTCTTCGAGGAGTTTCTCCCTTGAGGCCTATCGAGTGGGTTCTCAGGTGTACAGACGGCTCAGGTGTACAGACAGCTCAGGTGTACACACAGCTCAGGTGTACAGGCTCAGGTGTACAGACAGCTCAGGTGTACACACAGCTCAGGTGTACAGACAGCTGAGTGGGGCTCAGCAGCTACTTCTGTTTATTTCAGTTTTTGCTTCTGCGGCTGCAGGGCTGGCGATTTGGCCCCTGCGCTTTGTGCTGCGGAGAGGAACTCTTTAAGCAACAAGGTAGGCTGGCGGCCTTCTTAGAGTTTGCATTCTAGAGTTTAGGGTTTAAGGCATAGGGCTGAGGGTTTGGAGGTGCCTAAGGAGTTGTGCTGCTGCAGGGCCTGCGCCTTTACGCTGCTGCACTAGCCAGAGGAGATCCACAGGCGAAGCAGCTCTTGGCCGAACCAGTACAAACCCTAAACCCTAAACCCTTGCTGCCCTAACCCTAAACCTTAAACCCTATATACTTGCTACCCAAACCCTAAACCCTAAACCCTTGCTACCTTAACCCTGAACCGTAAACCCTAAACCCTAAAACCCTCCCGAAACCCGGGCTGGCGCCTAAGGGCAGCCAGCGCCTTATCTAGCTATGTGGGCTTGGGGTTTAGGGTTAGGGTTTGGGTGCGCAGAGAACCCAAAACGAAACAGCAACAGCAGCCAAAGAGGCCCTTGAAGAGCTCATAAGAAAATCAAAGAAGTAAACCCCCACAATTGCAAACCCTAGAAACCCTAAGCCGCACAAACCCGAGGCCCTCACCCGCCAAAGGCCTGCAGATCCGTCTGCTCGGCAGAGTGAAGTAGGGTTTAGGGTTTAGGGTTTAGGGTTTACGCCGCAGGAAGCAGCCCGGGGCCCTCGTGGGCGAGCTGCTGTCCATACACCCAGGGCTCTGCCCCCGCACCGCCAGAAAGCTTGTAGAGGAAGCTTTGGCTACCCAGGGCTTAGCTAGCCACAGCTAGCTAAGCCGCAGCTAGCTGCAGCTAGCTGCAGCAGCTAGCTGCAGCAGCTAGCTGCAGCTAGCAGCTAGCATCTGCTAGTTGCTGCTAGCTGCTGCTAGTTTCGCAGCGGTAGCTGCGGCACGTCTGGCCGCAGCCCAGTTTGCAGCAGCCGCAATAGCTGCAACAGCCACGTGAGCTGCAGCAGCAGCAGCTGCTGTTGTTGCAGCAGCTGCTGCAGCAACAGCTGCTGCAGCAGCAGCAGCTGCTGCAGCAGCAGCTGCTGCTGTTGCTGCAGAAGCTGCTGCAGCTATCTGCCTGCTTTTCTTTCCTTGCGAGCTACCCGTTGCTTCTCCTTCTCCATCCGCTGCTGCTGCAGCAGCTGCTGGTGCTTGTTGCGCTGCACCTCCCTGCAGCAGCACAGCCAGCGCATACGCAGGGAGCCTGCAGCTGGGCAGCTTTTAGAGGCTAGGCTGGCCTGGACATGGCGAGGGTTTAGGGTTTGGAGAGGGTTTAGAGTTTGGCCAGGGTTTAGGGTTTAGCAAACTTAGCCTCACATCTCGTGGTCTGCTTTGGCCTTTGCCCGAGCCGCCTGAGCTGCTTGCTGCACCTGCAGGCAGCACTGCAAGGGGGCCTTCGGAAATTATGTCTAGGGTTTCGGGTTTGAAAGGGTTTAGGGTTTACGAGGGTTTGTGTTTTGCGAGGGTTTGGGGGTTCGGGGGGCTTCACGGTCTAGTGTTTGAGAGGGTCTGGGGCTGGAGAGGGTTTAGGATAAGACTGAAGGCTTGAAGCGGTTAAGGGTTTGAGAGGGTTTAGGGTTTGATGCGGTTAAGGGTTTGAGAGGGTTCAGGGTTTGAGGCGGTTAAGGGTGTGAGAGGGTTTAGGGTTTTATTCTGTGCTACTGTACTCTGGCCCTGTTGTCGTTGCACCAGATCCCAGGGTCGTCACCTTGCTTCTTGCTGCTGCTGCTGCTGCTGCTGCTGCTGCTGTCGAGCTGCAGCTTCCCCTCTTCGTCGCACTCAACCATTTCATCGAACTCAAATCCATACTGCTGCACCACACGCTGCAGCAGCAGCAGCAACAGCAGCAGCAGCTTCACATTAATAGACAACGACAAACAGCAGCAGCAAGCCATCGACAGCAGCAGGAGCACTTTTGAGCTAACGGCGCAGCAGCAGCAGCAGTGGCAGCAGCAGCAACGGCAGCGGCATCAGCAGCAGCAACAATGGCAGCAGCATCAGCAGCAGCAGCAATGCTAACAGCAACAGCAGAAGCAACAGCTGCAGCAGCACCTCCCGTATCCGTCTGGCTGCCTCATCCTCTGGCTGCTCGTCAACTTCTGCTGCTGCTGTTGTGCTGCTGGAAAAGACTGCTTCTAGATTTTGCTGCCGCTGCTGCTGCTTCTGCTGCGCTGCTGCGGGGAGCACCACTTCCACCCATCTCGCGGCGCAGGAGCAGCAAAAGTCCTGCAGCTGCTGCTGCAGCGCGCTATCTTCTAAAGAGAGACTGAGGGTTTCCAGCAGCTCCTGCTGTATTTGCTGCTTCTGCTGCTGCTGCGCATCTGCTGCTGCTTTTGCTGCTGAATTCGGGCTAGCAGAAGCCTCCAGCACCCCAAGGGTGTATTCTGCAAAACCACAGCCGCCACTACGGTTTAGGACCTAGGGTTTAGTGTCTAGGATTTGGGATCTAGGGTTTAGGGTCTAGGGTTTAGAATCTAGGGTTTACAATTTAGGGTTTTGGGTCCATGGTTTATGATCTAGGGTGTGGAATCTAGGGTTTACTGTCTAGGGCTTGGACTAGTGAAGGGTCTAGCCTTCAGGGTCTACGGTCTTAAAGTTAGACTCAATGGCTTAGGGTTTAGGGTCTTGAGTCTAGGGTTTAGGGTTTAGGAATATGGCTGAGTACAGCCAGCCAAAGTCTTGATCGCAGCTGCTGCTGTGTGCTTCAGGCTAAGGGGGCTGGGGTTTGAGGGTCTTTTGGCCTACAGATGCTGCATATACAGGAATATTTTCTTAAATTCGTTTAAACTTAAATTAAAAATTAAAAACCTTTTTCATAAGGCCTACGTACCAACGAATACCTCTGTGTCGAGACCAAGCGCCTCTAAGCCGTCCTGCAGGTACTTTTTGAACTCCGTGAGTTCTTCTGTGGCCTCCATTTGAGGGTTCAGGGTTTAGGGTTTAGGGTTTTGCCCTGGGGCTCGCGGTTTGGGCCTTAAGGCCTTCGGTTCCGGGTTTTGAGGCCGCAGAGGACTCCTAGTAAATCTCTTTTCTTACAAACTCGGCGCTGTTGGAAATCAAACCCCTTAAACCAGACTTGAGTTAGACATTAGCTGCCTTGTCCCTGCTGCTGCATCTACATTTAATCAGACATAAATGCAAAAATATAAAGATTTATATATATTAATATATGTTCTTATATATTTGTTCATATTTTGTTGGTGGCTATGGGGCACCACGTCTTGCATGCCATGGGGCCCCCCGATACGAGCGCAGCCCTAAGTAAAGCACAATGGATGAACAACTACATCAATTAATTGTGAATTCTAAAGAAAAGCATTAAAAATATATTTTGAAGAAATATAAAGCAGAAGACACTGGAGGAAACGCCGTGCAAACCCCCAACCTGCAGCCAGTTGCTGCTGGCTAGCTGCAGCAGCTCACAGCAATTTAAATGGCGAAAGCTCTAGCTGCACCAAAAAGCTCTATTCTTTTTTGCGCCTGCGGCTGTCTTTACCTACCCATGACTAGCCACGTGGCCAGCTGCAGCTCCGTGCAGCTAGCTGCGCAGTGCGCCACAAGTCCCCCAGTTAAGGTGGTTTTGATGAAGCCCTAAAAAGCTATTAAGCTGACTTGATGACGTCCTAAAAAGCCATTAAGCTGATTTGGTGAAGTCCAACTAAATCCTGTTGGGCCCCCAAGCCTCCTGCAGCAACAAGTGGTTCTTGTTTCCCCATTTGTGCCCTGACGGGGCCCCCTAGGGGCCCCCTGCAGACCTGACGGGGGGACCCACGGGAAACCCCCACAGACTTTACGGGGGCCCCCAAGGGGGGTCCCTGGTCAAGTCTAGCTAGGCTTTTCGGGGGAACCCAGCTAAGTCATCCCTGTGTCCGTAGGCAGTAAATATATTACCCACAAAGTGCTACAAGCAATAGGTGGGGAGAAATGCATTTAAATGAACTTCTTTGCATGCATAAGGTCGAAATTCGAAGCCGCTTTTTGCAGTTTGTTTCCTAAGAGGCAGTCGCGGGTGCACGAAGTCGACACCTATACGTACACCCGAAAACCTGGGGCCCTTTTGGCTAAAGCAACAAAGCCACGAAAGAAAGTGAGAAAAAGAAACCCCCGAAAACCCCGCGGGGCTGCCTCTGAGAGGCGCATGCAGCAACACAGGGCAGCAACAAATTTCCGGCGGGCGCCCTAGCGCAGCATAAAGGCCTGGTGGGCCCCCGATGGGCCCCGGGGGGCCCCCAGGGGGCCCCTAGGGCCTCTGCTGCCCCTGAGGCCCCTGGTGGACCTGGTGAACCCTTGGGACCTCTAGTGGATCTGGTGAACCCTTGGGGACCCCGGTGCCCCTCGTGGCCCCTGGGGGCCCCGAGTGGACCCTGGCGTCCCCTAGGGGCCCCTGATGAATTCTGGGGGCCCCAGAGGGCTAAACAGGCTCACAAAAGGCCTCCCCAATGCAAAAGACACAGTCGCTGCTGCGTAGATATAAGTGCAGTGTGTACACATGTGTATATGCATGCGTGTAAACTTTATACGGGTTTGTCTGCGAACCCTGACACTCCTTTGCATGTACCTTTAGGCCCACGTTCACCGAATACATATTCATACAACTGTTATGCATTTGTGCATTTGTATTCATGTATTACATTTGTATGTATACATACTTGTATATATACGTATGTATAAATGCATATATACAGATGTTCGTATGTGTATATATATACATATATATACACACATACGAACATGTATATGCCTTATATATGCATGCAGGCATGCACTCCCCAAAACGGCCATATATGTACATATGGGAAGAATTTTGCTTCGCGTGTACAGACACCCCACAGGCACGAAGTGTATGTACACAAAGAAATGCAAATGTGCGCATGCATTCGCACTTGCATGCGCATGCATAGGCCCCCACACATACACATACTTATACATGGATATATATACAATATTGTATTTATGAAAACGTTAAGGCATGCACACAGATATCCGCACAAGCAAATGCACTCATACATGTATATATACATTTATATATGTATGTGAAAAAGATAAAGCATATACATTATATATATTACTATATATATGAAAAAGATAAAGCATACACACTTCTTTGTATATACCTACGCCTACTAGAGCTATGCAAAAGAGTCCAGAGCCACAGATGTACACATTGGGCTAGGGACACATTGGGCTAGGGCCCCGGGCGTGGGCCTCCAAGCACCTTTCAAATAGAGCTAAATGGGCAAAAAGGAACTTTCAAAACCCTACAAAACCCTACATAAAGGCACTCTGCGAGGATATTTCTGCAGAGGCGCTGTGAGAAACAGCTCCTGAGGAGGCAGCGTCGTCCCCATGGGGGCCCGCCAGGAGGCCCCCACCCAGGGTCACCTGAGACCCTGAGCCGGGGGCCCCCAGGGAACCCGGACACCCTTGCCCTGTTGAAGTTTGGGGAGCCCAGCTGCTGCCCGGCGCAGCCCCGCCGCCTGCAGACACAGAGAGGCAGAGGCGGGGGGCCCTCAGTCTTGAAGCAGCACAGAGGGGGTCCCTTGCGCATGCAACTTGGACTGGGAAAAGCGCAGACTAAAAGAAACAAAAGAAGAATTAAACAGATTTGCGTTGGTTTCGGGAATTACCCAAGGCACGCAGCTGCGCGCAAGCTGCCTTAAAGGCATAAAGATAAACACACAGCAACAAAAACGCGGGCGCTTCAGTCCCAGCTGGTGCTGCTGCTGCTGCATTTGAATTGAGACCACAATTCAGTCTAGGGCTCACTCGATGGGGTGGAGTTGAATGCGTGTGGGTTGCTGATGCTGCCTGCTGACGTCTGTGACAGCGGCTGCTGCTGCTGCTGCTGCTGCTGCTGCTGGAAGTTAGCTGGCAGCAAGTTGGGGGGCAGAGAGGACGGCAGCTCGAGGCCCTGCAGCTTCATTTCTATAAAGCGCCGCGCCAGGGCATATTCGTACAAGTCCAGGTAGCCGTCTCTGGTGAAATCGGCTAAGTTCCAAACCCTACAAGCAAGGCACGCATGCACACCCAACGCACAGCCCCAGGATTCAGGCCATGCATGTGTGCATGTATGTATCCATGGATGCATGCATGCACGCATCCATGCATCCACTCATGCATGCATCCATGCATCCATGCATGCATGAGTGCATGCATGAGTGCATGCATGAATGCATTCATGCACGCGTGCATGCATCCATGCACGCGTGCATTGGCAGCCTGCTCGGTCTAAACACGAAGGCATGCGCTGCATGCATGCACCTTAATGGGTGCATGCGCAGCAGGCTGCATGCATGCAAGCATGCATGCGAGCATGCAAGGTGCCAGAGGGTCAGCGCCAGCGGAGGACAATGGGAAAAACACGAAAAACGAAACGAACAAGAAAAGACTCAGTTCCGCTGCCACCTCTTCTTCTAAGAGGCCCCCCGCCACCCCACAGTCTAGGCAAACCTGTGCAAAATGCCACTCGGCAATTTGCTTTTCACCAAGTCCACCTTCGCCTGGGAGCCGTCGACGCGTCCCAGAGAGTCAGGCCCAATCCGTTCAAAGTCCTAAACAAAAACGCACGCTGCACCTGGGCATGCACGCATGCATGCATACATTCGGGCATGCAGGGGCTGTCGTGCCTACATGCATGCATGCAGACACGAATGGATGCATGCATGCAGACACTTCGCTCCTTGTCACATCCTCCTTGACGCTCACAGATGCGTCAGCGCGCAATGAGCTGCATGTGCAGGTATTAATACTGTCTTCTATATTAGCCTTTGCGTGGTGGTGCAAGACAAAAAGGGCATCGCGATTAAGGGCTCACTATCAGTATTACTGTTGTTATTATTATTATTACTGTTGTTATTGGTATGATTATTAACAGTATTATTATTATTAGCGTTAGTATTACGAGTGTTAGTATTATTATTTATGGGTGTCAACGTGGAAGGTGTAGGCACCTCTCTGTAGAGCTCTACGTCCACTGGTTGATGGAGATATTTGTCTATGGCCCAAGAAGGAGTTGTGCTGCTTTGTGTAAGTGCGAGAAAAGGAGAAACTTTTCCTTCCACCAGCGAGCCGTCCGCTGCAGTGTGAGGCACAGAGGCCCACTGTACGTACACCCCACGCAGCAGCAGCAGCAGCAAACCACAAATTGCTCTCCTGCTGCAGCTGTGCACCTGCTAAATGCAAATCCAAAATGTGAGCAGAAGCAGCAGCTCGCTGAGGGCTCTATGTACCGTGTCAGTGGGGACCAGAGACATCAGTTTCGGGATTTGTGTCCTAATTATATTATCCAGTCCTTCGAGCTGCTTCATATCTAGCCGGGGGATTTTGCTCCATTCAAAAGAAGCCAATTTCTCCTGAAACCAAATAGCACAAAGCAGGCCATGCTGCTACCCCCATGAAGACGCGCGAACCCCGCAAACGAGACCCTAAACCCTAAACCCTAAGTTCTAAACACTAGATGCTGCAGGCAGAGCTCCCAGGACCCCTTCGGCCCTGTAAAACCACAAAAAAGCGCACAAGCCCGAAACCCTCTGGCCCAAACCTGCCTGCATTGTCGCCAGCGGAGGGAAGTCGCCTATGGGGACTCCATATTCTTGGGAAACTTGTTGATAAATGGTGCCTAGCTGGTTTATTAGCTGCTTCTTTTTGGACTCTTTGCCAAACATTGGCAACTTGTTGCGCAGGGTAGTCAGCAGCAGCGCATGCACCTGGCAGGGAAGAAAAATTAAACAAAAAAGGAAAATATTAATATCGGTGAACGAGAAAAGTCAACAGAGTCTGAAGGCCACGACGAAGACAAGAAGGACAAGGTGAACAAACGCAAAAAGCGGAGCAGAAGCAAAGCGGCAAAGAAACAAATAACAAAAACACAATGAAACAACAAACGAACAAAAGAATGCAAAAAGAAAAGGGCAAATCAAATCCCCACTTTTGCTAGTCTGGCTCTTTTTATGAAATCGTTCAACTTCCGAATGGCCGCGTCGCGGGGAACCCGAGCAATGTCTGAGTAGAGGTCATTGGCCTGCAAATTTGAATTTCCCGAAACTATCAGAAGTTTCACACTTTACATATATTTCGCAATTTTAAATAAGTTGATTTAAGCATACGCAGTATGTGCCCCGGAAGGAGCACTTCAGCATATCTTTGAAAAATATTTCTGATGTGAAGAAAGAGCTGCACGAAGTGCTTTCTTCACATCAGAAATATTTTTCAAAGATAAGCTCAGCAAGCGCTTGAGGTGTACAGACACCTCAAACAACACTTCAGAAACAACAGCCCCACCTCCGCCTCGAACAGTCTCCTATTTTCGTCGTTTTGCAACGGGTTGTTCCAGAAGGAGCCAATGTACACTCTTGCCACCTCAGGAGACGATATTACCTGCATGCGACGCACAAACCCTAAACCCTAAACCCTAAACCCTAAATCGTAGACCCAACTTTCTGCACGGTTGTTTGAAGGAGCAGGTCACGTTCCTACCAGAGCACTCGACGCGAGTAGTTGACAAGCCACCTAGGGTGCACCTAGTAAACCCTAAACCCTAAACCCTAAACCCTGACTCACTTTGCCAAGCGACCACATGAGAGCCCCGTAAACCCTCATCAGCTGCTGATAAGAAACCATGTCTGCTTTGTTCAGAACAATGCGGATTTTAGTGTCGTTGCCCCTCAAAGCCTGCAGCCGAAAGGCAGCAAAACTAAACCCTAAACCCTTACCCTAAACCCTAGACCACAAACCCTCGAGCCCCTGCAGCAGCCACTGGCAAACCCTACCCCGAGCAGCAAGTGTCTGGCAGCCCCGGCGATGCTGACGGTTTGTGGCCTACAGCTTGCACGAGGGTTTAGGGTTTGAGGGTTTGAACTCAGGGCTTTTTACATTAATGCATCTTCTGAACTCGTCTGAAATGTCCAACTTGTGCGCGTCAAATATTAAAAGAATCAAATCCACTCTTTCCGCAAACCACTGGACCACTGCCTCAAAGTCATAACCCCTGGAGGTTTGTTTGTTGCCGCTCAAGACCCCCGGGGTGTCGATTAGGGTCAAACCCTGCAAAAACCACTAACCCTAAACCCTAGCCCTAAACCCTAGCCCTAAACCCTCAAAAGCGCAGCTTTTTGAAAGCGCACTAGGGCTGAAAAACTGCAAGTCCAAAAGAAGCAAAAGTTACAAAAAAGTGGCAAAAAAAGGCTTTACGAAACGAAGTGCTAAAGAGAAGAGCACGAAAAAAGATTAGAATCCAACAAAGACCAACTGCATGCAAGCACAAAAAGGCGCAGTAAAGGAAGCCAGAAGAGGGCCAAGACAGAAGCGGCAAATAATTGTGGAGGTTGCAAATATTCGCTGCAAACCGCCTCCCCTAAACCCTAAACCCTCAAACCCTCAAACCCTATCTTTTTAGCCTCACATTCAAAACCACGCAGGGCAACAAAGAACACTCAAACCGCTGCAGAAATATATTTCCAAAGTTCGACAGCTGGCTAAAAGGCTTCGTGGGGTCCACCACCGCCGTGTTCCCTGGTATGACCTGCCAGCAGCCAACCCCGCCCTAAACCCTAAACCCTAAACCCTAAACCTTAAGCCCTAAACCCTGAGCTCTACGCTCTGAGTCTGGACCCTTGGCTGCCCCTGAAAGGAAGCCTTAAGGCTTTCGCCGCGGCTCAGGGCGGCTTGGGGGCGTTTAGGCTCAAGAAAGGCTTCATGTCGGCGGCTTAGGTTTTATGGTTTAGGGTTTAGGGCCCACCTGGTGTGTGGCGCTGGGTTTCGCGTCTAGGGTTTAGGGTTTAGCGCCTACCTGGTCTGTGCTCCCCTCCATAATTGCTACGAATTTGTCCGTCGTTGGCTCAGGCCCAATTCGAAGCCCCGGGTAGTCTCTCTCCAGCAAGTGTTGCACAAAGGTTGTCTGCAGCAAATCGCAGTCCTCAGCTTTCCATAAACCCTAAACCCTAAACCCTAGCGCCGAAGTTCTGCAGACTGGATACTGAACTCGGATAGTAGGCTACCGGCAGCAGACCTCGCCGTAGTCCTAGTCATCCTCTAAATCCAGAAGCCTAAACCCTAAACCTTAAACCCTAAACCCTAAACCCGAATAGTTCCTCTCCATCAGTTGTTGGACAAATACTAACTGCAGCAGATCATTTTGAAATTAATGGGCGGAGAGGCTGTGCTGCTGTGAAACAGTAGCAGGCGAGAAGGTCTGAGGCCGGGGCTCGAGGGTTTACCTTTCCTGTGGAGTACTGGCCCAAAACCATCACCATGGGTTTCGCGGCGAAGTCGCCGTCGGTGAGGAGGGGAGAATAAAACTGCTGAAACTTGAAATCCGACTCAAGAGGCAACAAGTACTTCTTGTACATGGCTTGCAGACCCGCCTTCACATCCTGCAGCGCAAACCCCAAACCCCAAGACCCAAAAGCCATGCATTGCAACGCACAAGTCCCGCCTCTCTCAGCACGAAAAAGTATGCCGAAAAATTAAAGCTGAAACACCATTTGGGGTCAAGGTTCCGCAGGAAAAGCCAGGTATAAGAATACTCCAGGTGCGTCGGAGTCCGTGTGCGGTTTCGCCCCAGGTGTATGTACACTCCTGGATGTTCGGAAATCTGTCTTGCTGCTACGCAGGTGCAAGTCACAAATTCAAACCGCGAATTTGTTTTATTATTTCTCATTTTTGAATGCTTACATTGTAAACGCTGGCGGACTGCTGGGTGCCGCTCTTGCGGCTTCCGAAGAGCCACCTGCTCATTTTGCCGCCCGCTCAAGCAATGCAGACATTTCTATGCAGCCCAGAAGCACGCCGTAGAAGCCGCCGCCCACTTCAGAGGCGTGGCGGGCGCTCCTTTTGCAGCTGCACAGGAGGGCTTGGGGTTTTCGCTGGAGTTCAGGGGATAGAGAAAGACTTGTGCTGGGGTTGGCTCGAGCCTGGGCTCTGCCAGAGGTCGCCCCCAACAAAGAATGCCGAGAGCTATCTTCCCCAGAGATAGTGGGAAACCCCGGAGGCAAAGAAACGTACTTCTACGCCAGCTCCAGAAGGAGAACCCCTGGTGGCTGAGAGAGGCCAAAAAGCGGGCCTTCAGGCCACAAGGCTGCATGCATGAGCAATTGAAACTATAGACACCAAATTAATTCACCAGGGACTTCAAGAAGGAGCGCAGGGTCAAACCCGAAGACTTGCAGTAGGGGCCGGAAGCGCATGCAGGCAGCAGCCACATGCTATTGCTACTGTTGGGCTCTGGGCCGTGCCGTTGCTTACAGGCGGTTTTAATACATTTATTTCTCGTTAAAAAAGATGAATGATCGTTTTGCATAATTGTTTTGTCCCTCACTGCCGCACTTTCCCCAGTTTTGCTGCTGTGCGTCTGTGCATGTAGAAGCCGCCACAGACTCTGGCCTTCAGAGCCCAGGTCTGGCATCAAGCGGCCTTAAGCTACTGCGTCTAATTGCTCTACTTTTGTAAAATTAGACTATAGTTGCCATTTTGTAACAGATTGTGGCGCAGCAGAGGCACATTTCTTGAACGGCCGGCTGCGGGCACCAGCTAGCTGCTACGGAGCTCCTGCTGAATGGCATAATGGCATTTGAACTGGCTTCTGGCAGCAGGGGAAATTTATGTTTGCTGCTGGAGATGTGGAAGAGCTGTGCCGTGCTGCAGCCACAATAGAGGCCCGAAGCAGCATCAATGCAGCATAGAGATGCTCTTAGTTTTCTAGTCCCTCGTTTAGATCTACTGATTCTTCTGCTTTAACTGCGAAACAGCCCTTCAAGAGTAGTTCACGTTATTGGAGCTGCTTCAGCAGATAAGAACTCCTGCCACAGACAGCACTGCAGCAATGCATGCAGCGAAATAAGTGCCTGCTGCGAAACCCCGAAAGCCGAGATTGAGGGCTCTACGGACCCGCCCAAATAAGCGTTAGCCCAGCAGATAACGAAGAGAGGCCGCGCCAGCGGGGCTAAGGGGTCCCGCAGCTCTTTGCTGCTGCTGCTGCTGCTGCAGCTGCTGCTGCTGCTTCTTGGGTTCTGTTGTTTGGGCGGCCCGCGCCGAACATGGGCCGGCGTACCTTTAACGGTGCGCCTACCAGCGTACCCTTCTAAACAGGACAGCTTAAACATTTCTGCTAGCGTTACGGTGGCAAGAAAACCGGCCTGTTTTGCGATTGCTCAGTGGCCAAAACGATATCGTGAATCAGCAGATATCTTGGGCAGCAGCAAGAAACAAGTGCAGTCTGAACGGCCGGCGAGAAATGATCCACAGGCACAATGACCTCAGGGACGCAGTAGCCTAGCCCCATGATCCCCCAGTCGTAAGAGCATAATCAAAACTTCTAGTGGGATGTAAGTGTCGGTGTGGAGCTCTAATGGAGAACCAAAGAACAGTTGCTTCGGATCATAGCTTGCCGATGATGCGAAGCATTTGCGCATGATTATACAAACTACAAAAATTGAATGTGGACGTGCACAAGAAAGCTACAAGATAGATGCAGGCATACCGTGGCGTTTAATGGCGTAAGTGCCTGGCATAGCGTTCAACGTGCGTATGTTGCTTCGGCGTCGGAACGGCAAACTGTAGCCGGAGTAGACGACCGAAAATGATTAGAACAAAAGAATAGGCGCTTACAGTATCAGTAAAACTAAACACTGAAGAGGGCCGGAAGGCCAAACTGTTACGAGGGCAGTCATTTGACGCGCGCCTTTGTACAGTCGCTGTGAAAGGCGGACTGAGCATTTATCTCACAACACGAGAAGATAGTGCCTTATTACCCAAACGTATATCTAATGGAACCTATGTAGCAGTTATTCCATTTTTCGTATCTTTCACACATTACGTATGTATAGCTAAGGGAAATGCGTACCATCAGTCAATTTCAGTGGAGAGTTGTTAACGGAAGATGGTTAGCAGGTAGAGACTGGAGTGATGCAAAGCGTTTACGGAACGGGTAATTGAAAGGCTCGGAGAGAAGGGAACAAAGAAGTACGGGAATATATGTAGAGAGAAACAGTTGGCTTAACCGATTCAAATACTTTGTCACGTTCCAATTCAGATATTTTGTCACGTTCATTTTCCTCGGCCCATATTACTATATGCACCTCTTTTCCCTGAAGCCAGTCTTTTCACATGACTCAACTCGAGAGACGGTACCCTCATTATTCCAGCGCTTGTGTTTGCCTTTGTTCTCCTACTTTTCTGATGCTGTCGTTTTCCACACTTTGTTTTGGCATGGTAAAACTTTTCCGAGCGTGAAGAAAAGCATGTGTTATCATTACCCAATTTGGCCTCTTTGTTCAAATGCCGCTTTCTAGAGGAGAAAAGGCAGCTAATGATACGTAGCAATGCCAAATTTTAGAACGAGGCCCCTGAAATCCCCGCAAAACTCCTCTTATGCTGACCTCAACACATTTCTGGGGGCGGCACCAGGTGCTTTCTAGTAAAAAAGGTACCTTAGGGGTACATGCTCACTATGTCGGGTACAATTAAAGTTAAAAGTTCCTCTCGTCGCCGTTTTAATCCGAGTTAGTAGTAATTTGTTTCTCTGACTTCAAGGGGTGAAGAATGCACAGCAAAACTGCAAAATTTGAGGCTGCATCCTACTCTCAATATACTCCAATCAGCATTGAAATAGATAAGCAACTGACTGATAAGCTACAGCTGCGGGCCCGTAGTGGAAGACTGTATTAATACACAACTTTACAACTGCGGAATGGTCCAAGTACTGCTGCAAACTAAAAACAAGAAGATGCAAAATGTTCTTGTAGTTTTACATGTAGATATGTGCAAGTCTGATTTCGGCTCATTCTTTGAAAGACTATATGCCAGCAAAGAAGAACGCGCGTTTTCTTGACATTGTGAATCAAGTCAAAGTCAGGTCAGCACTCCTCAACATTACCAGATTGCAAATTCTGGTATTTAGTGAAGTACTATTCTTAAACGTTATGGATCACGCATTAGCTTAGACTAGCATTGAGAAAGCCACAATAATCTATAAACACAAATTAACCGCTTTGCTGAAAAGTGCAATCCGAAGGTATTGCTTGCTTGGGAATGGCAAAAACATGGTAATGTTGGCCACCTCTTCACAGACGCAAAGCTCGATTCAAGATGATTTGCGCACAAAATATGGTAGATTTTCCCATAACGGGTTAACAATAAAGGAACCGCTACAAAGGTATTGACGGCCATCGTTCCGATAAGCTCAGCAAAAACAAACGCTGCGGCTCAAGTATGACACTTAGATGCCCATGACGCTACCCCGCACCATTAGACAGTTCTAGAGACAACATCGCTGCCCGCTATGGTGTTTGCGTGGCAAACAGGCTGCACTTTGTTGGGACAAAGCCGGAAGAGATTAATAAATGAATGCACAAAAGCTGCAACAAAAAGTTTTGCAGCAATACAGCATTCAGTCGTTCACAAATAACAAAAACAGACTGATTAGTCAAAATTGCACTCCAAGAACGACTTTTTATTGACGCTATATCGTCTCAGCTGTTTGAAAACGTCTTCAATTAATTAAGCGCCGCGCACAGTGTTAGGGTTCTTGCAATGCATATCTCTCCAAGCTGTGCCACTGACAGTGTTTTTCTTCAGTTACTTTTTGAAGCTCTATAAAATTTCTTTGTTGAAGTGGGTGACAAATCTCCAGCCTGAAGAAGTAGATTTTCAAGAAAACTGAATGAGGACTTGATCTCAGGAAAGGCTGCAGGCAAAACGCAACTCCGCAAAAGCCTGGGGCTGCAATACAGCCCTCGCGCCCGCACTGCAACTGTGGCGGAGGCAGAACAGCAGAGCCGAAAAAGCGTTCTGTCCAAAGTAGTCTTACTGGCATGCCATGTGCAAACAGTTGACAGATTTGAGAATCATTTATTACATTCATCCACGCGGAGTTTACGATGGAAGCACCATGAGCCTCCTAAAATTCTACTAACCGCAGGTATGAATATAACTACAAAGCGCTAGAGTAAGAACGGCTCGAGGAAGCTGACGAAGAAAACCATTTTCGTGACTTGCTTTCGTGATATGGATTGAGAGCAGAAATGCCGTGACTAGCGGATTAAGTGGTTGTACATAGGGAATTACGATGATTTCCTCTATGCTTTGATGCCATGTATCGCGTTTCTGAATAAATTGTTTTTCACATCGTGTTACTCAGTACTTAGCCTGAGCCGAATATCGTCACGACATACCTCCTAGAGCTGAAACAACAGACCAAGTAACGTTTGTCTGCTTCCACACAAAACTTGTTTATGCTCTGCTTAAATGGTTCTGCCCAGCCATGCAAAAAATGCTCCGGCAGCGCAACGCAACTGGATGAAAATTCTGGCGTGGAGCGCTTCAAAGCCGGACAACTACTAACTGCAAGTGCAGACATAACGCCACCTCCCGACACAACGGTTTCGAAAACGAAGCAATCAATGCATAGGGAGCTATTAAAATGTCACTGCTCAAATAACAACTAGAACTGTATTGATGCTATATTTCTGCAAAAAATAAAAGTCAACAAAAGGAGTAAATCTCACAGTTTGCAGAGTTGAATGCATCCACACCCTTCCAAAGTACGGTGTCTGGAACACAAAAAAGTAGTTTTAAAGCAGCATGCTTTCCATGCTTGCAAACAACGTTGTTTCATGTGGACCAAAGACTTTAAGCAGGAGCACTGTTTACAAATTCTGCCTTGCTGGTGAACACTCCCAATCCGCGTGGCAAATGCTGGGCTTTGCGACAGTCGCAATCACACTTTGCTCGTGGATTTT